GCTTGAACATACCAAGAACGACGTTAAGCGTCTACGTAATCACGAGTGATCTCTGGTGGACTTTAACGCACAAATCGATGCTCTCAACGAAGCCTACCAGCACCTGGAAAATCGGTTTCGAACGGCCGAAGAGAAGTCGAAGCACAGTGCATCGATAGCCAGAAGAAGGTCTTCAAGGTCACCGTGGCTACCAGTACCAATCAAATCCGTCGCCTGCATTACTTACTTGCCAAATACGACGTTGCTGACGACTCGACAGATTATCGTCTCAAGCGACAGAGCGAAGATATTCGAGAGCAAGACTATCCTCTATCAAGTGTTAACAAGACTCTCCGTGCTCACGTCAAGCTGGAAGAGATGGACCTCGATGTTCTGGTATTGCCCTCGAAGGTTCGTCACCTCTTTGTCTGCTATTGCTAGCAGGTACCTCGGTGTGCTGACTTGTCTTTGCTTAATTCACTTGATCAGGGCTCTCGACTGACGAGTTGAACTGGGAGTTGCTCAAAGTGAGTGGTCAAACTTGCACTATCCTTCGGTGTTTGCTTGATACTGCGGATGCGTTTTGAATATTTAGTATACTAGAGAAAGTGGCAAATGGGCCCAAGTTGGATATAGTACTAAGAAGAAGCGCACGTAAGCGTGGAATGACCACCGCAGTCGAGGATTGGTTTTGCGGCATGGATATGGGCTGCTTACCACAAGCTACACGTTTTGTTGGGGGTGCCAACGAGTCAGAGTCACTTGAAGTAGCATCATGCAGGCGCTTACGGAAAGTGGAGACTCAAATATTGTGCTCCTCTGGACTTTAACGTACGACCTACCGGGTGAGGCTCGTCGAGATGCTCGCGATCCTCCGGTGGAAGGTCGGGAACATCACCTTCACGGTAAGCCACACGAGCCAGACCAGTAGTGGCGTCCTCTGCCGAATCCGACAAACAATGATGGCACAGCAGATAAAACTCACCCCTCTCTAAAGGAATAGCGGAAACGGTCGCGTAACGAAAAACTCCATTCCAAAAAAACACGTCCTCATGCTGCGAATGAAGATCCTTGTATCAAGAAATGCCAACCACGCTTCCGTTGCAACAGCACAGCAGAAGCTATCGCGAATTTAGAGAGCTGTTTTATTTTCCGATTCCAGATCAGACTAGTAGTATTGCCTTGCAATAGCGAACTGTAAGCTTGTTATATACGACTTTACCAAACACCCAACTCGTTGCTTAGTTTGCCTAACGAAAGTAAAGACCGCTTTGTTTTGACGTCAAGAAATAAGTAATGAAGCTGTTCTAGAAATAGTGTTCGAGTAGAGAACATGTGAGCTGTGCTTTAGAGATTCCCCTCACAAGGAGGGATCCAGAAATTTGGTCAAAGCCGCATTTTGTGAGTCAATTCCACGGTAATCTTTAGTAAAAGGCGAAAGATTAATACGAATGAAATTAACTCAGCGGAATGATTTGACAACAGATATTACGCTTGCACTTATATTATCAGTGCTCCCTCACGTACAAATTTGGCATAAACTCGTAAGCACAGAACTCGACGTTTATTAAAGCACATCTGAGGGATTGCGTGGAGGATAAGAATGCAGTCGTGCTGTAGAGGGCAATGGAGCGGTAGCTGTACCGCCTGGGTCACTGAGCCGTGAACGGCGCTTGGGGTGTACCAGGGCTGCTGACGATGTGTGCGGGGGCTACTGTACCTGCAGATTTAACAGTGTTAAAGCTGTTGACGACTCACGAATTACGCAGATTTGTAGACGCTTACGTGTGTGCAATGAATTATCAGGCAGCGCCCATCGGCACAGTAGGGAGTCCTGCAGGCGGGGATGCAAGCTACATCTCCGCCGTAAGACGAGCCATAGCCTCTGTCTGAGTGAACAATGCGCTGACGACTCGCGCAGCAGCCTCGTCGCTGGCTTCGGGTACGAGCACCCGGAGTGGTTGACGGATAACGCGGTGATAAAAAGGGTTCGTGGTAATCGGCTCATGCATAAAGTGTTTCAAGAAGCTCGTTACATCGCCGAGAAAGGCAATTCTGGGATTCCAGCCTTCAGCGATGAGGCCGCTACGAGCTCTGTTGAAGCCGATCTAGCGCCACTTCGCTCTCAGCTTCACTCTGCTCATTGTGCTCCGGCGGCTGCCGAAGTTTCGCTCGAGAAGGAGGTCTTGCGTCGCGAAAATGCTTAGAGCGTTTGCTGCTCGGCTCGTTAGGAGCTTGAACATACCAAGAACGACGTTAAGCGTCTACGTAATCACGAGTGATCTCTGGTGGACTTTAACGCACAAATCGATGCTCTCAACGAAGCCTACCAGCACCTGGAAAATCGGTTTCGAACGGCCGAAGAGAAGTCGAAGCACAGTGCATCGATAGCCAGAAGAAGGTCTTCAAGGTCACCGTGGCTACCAGTACCAATCAAATCCGTCGCTGCATTACTTACTTGCCAAATACGACGTTGCTGACGACTCGACAGATTATCGTCTCAAGCGACAGAGCGAAGATATTCGAGAGCAAGACTATCCTCTATCAAGTGTTAACAAGACTCTCCGTGCTCACGTCAAGCTGGAAGAGATGGACCTCGATGTTCTGGTATTGCCCTCGAAGGTTCGTCACCTCTTTGTCTGCTATTGCTAGCAGGTACCTCGGTGTGCTGACTTGTCTTTGCTTAATTCACTTGATCAGGGCTCTCGATTGGCGAGTTGAACTGGGAGTTGCTCAAAGTGAGTGGTCAAACTTGCACTATCCTTCGGTGTTTGCTTGATACTGCGGATGCGTCGGATTCGGCAGAGGACGCCACTACTGGTCTGGCTCGTGTGGCTTACCGTGAAGGTGATGTTCCCGACCTTCCACCGGAGGATCGCGAGCATCTCGACGAGCCTCACCCGGTAGGTCGTACGTTAAAGTCCAGAGGAGCACAATATTTGAGTCTCCACTTTCCGTAAGCGCCTGCATGATGCTACTTCAAGTGACTCTGACTCGTTGGCACCCCCAACAAAACGTGTAGCTTGTGGTAAGCAGCCCATATCCATGCCGCAAAACCAATCCTCGACTGCGGTGGTCATTCCACGCTTACGTGCGCTTCTTCTTAGTACTATATCCAAATTGGTCCCATTTGCCACTTTCTCTACACCTTTGTCAGTCCAAATCGGCGACAGTGTAAAGCAAAGTGGAACGTCCCGTAATTATTTTTTTTAATTTTTGAAATCTATTTTTTTAGAAAAAGCCTGTCATGCAAAGTTGATTTAGTGTAGTGCAAAACTTTACGTGCCGTACTCCATAGGTTTGCTACGAATAGCTGCCGCCACTGACAACGCACAGTGGCGCGCCATCTTGTTAACCAAGCGCAGATCCATACATGGAAGCTATGCTCTGCAGCGTTTTCAAGCAGCTGCATCCGGCGCTCTGTTTTCTGGGCAAGCGGACGATGTTGAACTGAGCGCTGACTGGGAAAAACAACGCAAGGCAAGCCACTGAGTGTTTGTAAGTGGATGGAGCAGATCCACCAAATCTGGTACTTGCATGGCAGCGGCGCGAGTGAGTGGCCACCCGGGAGGGGCGCGTGAACGACATACAGCCGACGCCCTCTGGGTCTTTCCTCCATTCCTTCCTCGCCCCAGTCCAACAGCCACATACACAGCAGCCATGGCGACCAAGAGCGTACGCTGGTCCACCGTCACCGTCTACGAGTTCGGCGTGGGCATCGGCGGCAGCGCAGTGCCTCGACGCGGTGGTCCAGCGGTGGGGCTGGCTCGAACCCCGCAATGTGTGTGGAGGACTTCAGTGAGCGCGGCGCAGCATCAGCGGGAGAAAACACAGGCGGGGGACAGGCAGGAAACCGCAGGACGACATCGGCGGAGACGCGTGCGCTGGTTCAAGCCGCTGGAGCGCATCACGATGCTGGAGAAGGCAGGCTACAGCGAGGAGCGTATCTTCCGCTCAATGCTTTGATGCCGACCACCAGTTAGCTCTGCACTAAATCGCCATTGCTCTAAAGTCAATTTTTGAAAATAAAAATTAAAAATTTCTTTGTCACTTAAGTTACTTCACACAGCTTTGCTTTACACTGTCGCCGATTTGGACTGGCAAAGGTGTAGTATACTAAATATTCAAAAACAATGATGGCACAGCAGATAAAACTCACCCCTCTCTAAAGGAATAGCGGAAACGGTCGCGTAACGAAAAACTCCATTCCAAAAAAACACGTCCTCATGCTGCGAATGAAGATCCTTGTATCAAGAAATGCCAACCACGCTTCCGTTGCAACAGCACAGCAGAAGCTATCGCGAATTTAGAGAGCTGTTTTATTTTCCGATTCCAGATCAGACTAGTAGTATTGCCTTGCAATAGCGAACTGTAAGCTTGGTATATACGACTTTTACCAAACATCCAACTCGTTGCTTAGTTTGCCTAGCGAAAGTAAAGACCGCTTTGTTTTGACGTCAAGAAATAAGTAATGAAGCTGTTCTAGAAATAGTGTTCGAGTAGAGAACATGTGAGCTGTGCTTTAGAGATTCCCCTCACAAGGAGGGATCCAGAAATTTGGTCGAAGCCGCATTTTGTGAGTCAATTCCACGGTAATCTTTAGTAAAAGGCGAAAGATTAATACGAATGAAATTAACTCAGCGGAATGATTTGACAACAGATATAACGCTTGCACTTATATTATCAGTGCTCCCTCACGTACAAATTTGGCATAAACTCGTAAGCACAGAACTCGACGTTTATTAAAGCACATCTGAGGGATTGCGTGGAGGATAAGAATGCAGTCGTGCTGTAGAGGGCAATGGAGCGGTAGCTGTACCGCCTGGGTCACTGAGCCGTGAACGGCGCTTGGGGTGTACCAGGGCTGCTGACGATGTGTGCGGGGGCTACTGTACCTGCAGATTTAACAGTGTTAAAGCTGTTGACGACTCACGAATTACGCAGATTTGTAGACGCTTACGTGTGTGCAATGAATTATCAGGCAGCGCCCATCGGCACAGTAGGGAGTCCTGCAGGCGGGGATGCAAGCTACATCTCCGCCGTAAGTGCGATCAAAGCTTCCGGAGAGGCTGCAAAGAACTTTGTTCAAGGATAATGTAGCGCACAGGTGAAGCGTGACTTTCTGGAGACCCTAGAGAACAACACCAAGCTATCAGCAGGTATCTGCACCAAGATCCTCGAGCGTGTCATTCCACAGAACCTCGAGTCTATGGCAACCGAACTGGCTGGAAGAACACGAGAGGAGTTCTCTGATGGTTTGGTGCGTCTGGTGACGCAGTACAAGTCGGACCTTCGGAGTGCTCTCGACGAGTACGCGCAGCAAAGCAGCGGACCGGCAGTGGGTTTTTGTCTCGAGCAGGCCCTGTTGCAGTCTGTAGGTGGATCCATTCAGAAGTGGAGCGCGATGGTGCTTGAACAGTACAAGACACACATGCGGAGCTGGAAGGACGAGAAGGAGACACTGGCTCGTGAGTACGAGCTTTCCAAGGTGCAGGATGCAGAAACGACCGCGTCTGCGAACGACCAGAAGCATTTGTATGAATCGAAACTGGCACAGGCTACTGAGCAACTCTCTGAACTGCGTCGAACGCTCCACAGCGAGCTTAACCAAAAGAAGAGTGAGCTGGAACGACTTAAGACTGAGATTGCGACCATGAATTTGAAGCACGAAGTACGTGTGCAGAACGCCGAGAGCGACCTTGCGTGGGCTCGCAGTCGGACAGAGGAGCTGGAGAAGTCCATCGTTGCAGACCGTCAACGCAAAGAAGAGATTTCAGCTGCCGCCTCGCAAGTTCTGGAACGACAGCGCAGTTTTCACAAGGAAGAGCGATTGCTGCTGGTTGAGCAGAAAGAGTTGATGGCTCAGATTGTTCAATTGGAGCGCGAGCTCGTGCACAAGAAGACGAATCACGTCCAGAAGGTCTTTGGTCTGCAGAACGAACACGCCAAGAAGGTGGATCGTATGCGGACGGAGCAGGCCAACTTCGAGCGCCAGTTGAAATCTCAGGCGAGAAAAGACAAGAACTCGCTCAAACTGGCGCATGAAAAGGAGAAGAAATCTAAACTCGCGGAGTGCGCAGCGTTGGACAAAGAGACGGCAGATATTCAGGGGAAGTTGGCCGTGTTTGAGGCTGAAGACGAGGCGGCCAGGTCTTCCGCCGCTGCTAATCGAGATTTTTTCAAGTCGATGCCAATGATTTCGCTTCCGCTGATGCAAGCTCCTGCCCCCGCTGCAGGTGAACACCAACCAGCAGGGCGATCCATGAAAGCTTTGACGCCGAAAGACTACACGACTCCCATCCGATTTGGCTCGTTAGATGACACGTCCACAAGCTCTGCGAGTCCAACCACCAGGACTGAAGCTCCACAGAGCAACGATATGTGTAAGCAATCCTGAAGAACCAACGCAAATTATTTTTTACCGACTGACCCAGTCTAAGCACCGCGTAGCTCTTGATTTTCGGTCCTAGTAATGATGATATCAGTTAACATTGTGGAGGTGCCGCTGATTCAGAAATAGCGGATGAACTGTTGTGGTGCTTTTTCCTACTTTGCTTTGTCTTTTTGCGTGAATGTGCTGCTGCTGCTGCGAGTCTTCGTGTTTTAGAAAACTTGGATACGGCTCAACAGAATGACCGAGTACATTCCCAGCTCCTCAGCTGTTGCATGCTTGATCGTGACGACATCGGGACGCATTCTCCTCTTGTGGGACCAGGATGACACACTGCCGTTCCAGTATCCGCAGCTCGCCATGCTGCTCGCCAGCCTCTTCCACTTCGCACACGCCCAGTGCTTCGCTCATCTAGAGCTGCAAAATGGCTTCACAGTGCTGATCTCTTCAGATGTCGATGCACAAGTCTCAGTCGCGGTTATTTGTGCTACACCACCAAGGGCAAGCAAGGACAACGACGACTTCTGCTGTACACAGGTCTCTCCACTGCAGCTCGGCCGACTGAAAAGCTTGCTCATTCTACAAGAGTTCGTGCGGTGCTATCGAGGCGACATCGAGCGTCTTTCAGTAGAAAGTATCGAACAGGCCAAGCTCAAGGCAGAAGAGTACACGTTGACGAGCGCTCTTGGCGGGTTCCAGGACGGGTTTGAAGGCACATTGGACGAGTTTATCAATTTCCAGAGTGGCTTCGTCAGTCTCGTCATGGAGACTACAGCTCGAGGCATTCAAAACTCGACCATGTCATGGAGCCACGACGGTGCAGCTATTATGGCCCAGAGCTCGCTAGCTATTCGACTGGAATGTGGATTCGTGCTGAATGCCGAGACTGGAGACAAAGTATACTCGACACTTCGTCGGCCAAACAGAAGCTTCTTCTACCAAGATCTAGCGTCTCTGCATCACCTTCACAATAGCGCTAGGGTCCAACAGATAATAAAGCATGTCGCCAAAGCACTACATGAGAACGCATCAATACTGAGTCGGCCTGCCCGTGGCAATAGTGTTAAGCTTAGTGTTGGAGCTGCTGTCGTCGTGAGATTCAGGCACCTGTCGGGTCAAGATCCGAGTGAACTCTTTATATGTTTCGTGCGTTGTAACTTTGATATGGCTCTCCTGTTTGGTATCACCTCCCTGACGTTAGCCGTTATTGTACTCACTTGCAGACTAAGGTGTTATTCGATGGTATCGTCTTCTACGGTGACAACGCACTCGAGAAAACGAACTGTACTCATCAGGGAAACTCCAGAAAGTTCTGACAGGCCACTGAGTCGTAAACGCATGCTGGACATGCTTCAACATCGGTCGGATGATGTTGAGTTGCATGTCGGTTCGGATGGGGCATGTGCCTCACCCACATTGTGGAGAGCAATGGAAATCCTCGTCAAACCACTGTCGTTCCGAACAACTCGTTCATGTGGTCAGCAGATAGCCTCAAAACTGTCATTTTTAGAATATTATTGACAATGAAAACGATAAGTTTAAAACAGCTGTGTTTAAAACCAAATAAGAAGAAAAAGGGAAAAAAGTTAAAAATACAGTTTTTTTAGCCAGATCTAAAAAAAATGCCAAAACGTTTTTTTGCTTTCTTTTTAGAAAACTCTTAAAAAAAGCTTTTAAACTCTTCAGGTTGTTAAGCCTTCTGTTTTTTTTCTGGGAGGAAAGCTGTATGGATCTGTAGCAACTTTCAGATCACATCACGACACACAGGATCTACATAGCTTCAAAATTAGACGTTGGGTGCCTTGATATTTGGCGATTGAGCATTTTTACCCATTTATTAATGAAACAGAAACAAAAAAGGAAATGTAGCAAACATTGTTTTAATAAAACATTGTTTGCTACATTTTCCTTTCATGCCACTTGCCAATACATTAATGAAATTATTATCTATAATGATAAAATCTGCGACTTTCTGAGTGAATGTAGGGGCTGTGAAGACATTTCGAGTTATCAATTGAATGCACAGGATAAACGAAGAAGGCGCATACGAACCTGCATACTCACCGCTAAGATCCGGTCTTGGGAGCAATTTCACTCATTGCGCTACCATTCCCCGTGCTTTTAGTCAGCGTTTGATAGTATCACGTCCATTTACAAACATCTCTGCGGCATACTAACAACGCCGACGAGAGCCCAGCGCTCCTCTCTTCTGGCGCCGGCTAAGAAAGCTGCATCTCACCGCCAAAGATTAATCCGCATCCATACCAAAACTTAATTCTATAAGAGTAATTCGCTATATTTGCGGTATGAGGCTTGTGCTCGCTAAAATACGTATTGTAAGCTAGCTTTTCTTAAAATGCAGCATTCTAACTAGTGTCGTAGGCACGATTCGCAGCTCAAACAACGAAATCACAAAGGCTGAAAAAGTTACTTTATTGAGAGCGTGAGAGCTGCTTCTTCGGCGGGCAGACCGCCCTGCCCGCTGTGTAATCAAAATAATTAATCTCACACTGTTTTTACAGCCTAAAGGATTAACCCTAGTGATAATCCGGTCTATCAGTAAATTTAATTTTTTTTTAGAACCCACCGCTGGGCGCTGATTTACACGAATTGTAAATTACAATAGTCCGCCCTTTGTCGAAGAAGCATCCCATGATCAAGTGACCACCTCAACTTGAGACCGAAGACAGCAGTTCAACTCCATACTGATCCCATCGCGGCGGAGTTTCCTTCTCTCTTCCAGGCTGCAAGTTCCAGAGGCTGGAATCCAGCCTCGGGCCTTCTTCCCTTCCCCCTTCTAGCCCAAACAGACGCCTCTCTGATCGAAAGGGACTCCAACTTCTTGTTTCGCAAGCCGATGTGCAGAGGTCACAGGATGCCGGAGTATGCTGGTAAAAGTCAAAGCACCGCGTACGGTACCGGTACATCAAAAAGGCCAAACACCATTGTCGAAACTCTTGCGTGCGTTGACGAGCAATTCTTCACACAGAAGTGCATGTACAGTACATTGTATGCTTGCAGCTACAATATAAGGTTATCACACTACAGTATATGTACAGCTTGTAGTGTGATAACCTTGTACATGTATTCTACAAGATGCTCGTAATTGTACGGTAGTGTGATGATTTTTGCGCAAGGGACTCCCTATGCCAAATCGGAGCTCTTTAGAATCATCGATCGTTACAGTATCCATCACAGATTTTCAGGATAGTTTTTGCAATTCACGATGCAACCCAAGTCTGCGCTCGCATCTTTTTCGGGATGCCCGTTGCCTGGTTGCACTACAAGCTGCAGCACAACTCCGCAGTGCTTCCGAGATAACTATTCGGTGCTTTCCTGGTGTCGTGCGGGGCCTGAGGTTACGAATTGTACCGAAGCACGTACATAACTTACTGACCACTCTGGGGTTACTGCAAACTGTCGCCCGAAGCTACAATACTTAAGTTGGTAAAATACGATAGCAACGACCACCTCCAACTGCGCTCAGAAAGCGTCATCGCTGTAATGCATCCGCGTTCCCAGCTGCGGACGCGGATGCCGCGCCGAATAAGCAAAAATCGGTCATAAATCATCGTCGTGGAGAAGCGCAAGTGGCGCCACCTGGTGGATGTGTCCGTGTCAATGTCCAACCAGTGACAGCGCTTGATGTCTGCGGCTGGAGCTTGACTGCCGCAACGGAAGATAGATGTACCGGTATGTGATTACTGGCGCCCGTATCATTCATTCGACCTTGGAACAAGAAGGTCCCCACGAGCGACTTTTTCACAAAGGGGGATTTGATCTTCTTCAAGGATGAATCGCCCCGCTGGTTTTGCGCGATCATTGCGCTGCCGCAACAAAATCGCGCGTGGGGGTCGAACGCGCCCTACAGGCCCTCATTCGCGCAGGAAAGACTCGATTTACAAATAAATGATACCCATGTTTTTGCTTGAAAACTTGTTGGCGAATTATGAACAAACACAGAAGCCGTTTCCCGAAAAACGGCTCCACGAAAAGACGCAGGCCAATCGCGTGATTGCGTTCGGCGTCCCAGCAGCTGGCGGTCGCCTGCTCGCCCATGACACGGCCATCACTGCTGTTATCCCGAATTCCGCAACTTTAGAGCTCGCCATTGTTCAATCCGCCTGCTAAACAACAGTAGCAAACAGCATCTCGAATTATTGACTGATAGCCAAGCGCAACATGTCCAAGAGCAACTCCAACTCCAACTCGCGTCTGTCTGCGATGGCTCACCTGGAGCGGGCAGCCCGGAAACTGACACTGTACTCGCGGGCGCTGCGCGAGCAGCTCGCTCGGCTTCGCGAGGAGATGGTGGCCGAAAAACAGGCTGTGCTGACGTCCGAGGACGACGTGAGTGAATCGTCGACTCGGCTGCAAGAGATTGAGGAGCTCATGACCAAGTTGCAGCTCGAGATTAACACACTGCGTGTACTGCCCCCGTCACGCGACGATGGTAGCCTTACCGCCCGCAAGCAGGAGCTAGAGGAGCTGGAGGAGGAGCGCCAGGAGGAACTCGAGCTACTGGCGCACATCCGCAGCATGCTGCAGCTGCATCAAAGCACACACAGCAAAATGCAACGTATGATCGCTGCGCTCACCAAGGAGCTTCATCGCGTGCGCCAGCGCGAAGAGGCTGTCGTGCTCGCCGCATTGCGCAGCGGCATTGTCAAGATGCTCGCCCCAAAAATCTAGATAGGAAGATCCTTCGATAGTCAAGTTACCAGGCTAGACACCTTCGACCTGCGAAGCTTGGAGGAAGACGTCGTCGCCACCACCCGACGCGTACCAACCACTCGTGACAACCTCCTCAGCAGCAACATACTGTAGATCGGAGACCTAACTTATTTATCGAAACTTTTTTTCGAACCCAAACAAAATCTAATTTCTTGCTGATTTAGAAGCGTTTAGATTTTCCACCATCTGAAACTCTAAAAAAAAATGATACAGTATCAGACGGCGAGAATCTTGTTTTTTCTACGGACCCGAAATGGTGCTAGGGGGCTTCGTGCTAGACGAGCAGGGCGAGGAGGATCTGCTGCGCGAGGCGCTGCAGACCGTCCGTGACCAGGGCTTCCGTATGCAGCGTGCCGCAGACGCAAACGACCAGCCAGCCGTGCTCAAACACGCGGCCGAGGTGCTTCGTGAGCTACGCACAAGTTTGCTGTCCCCAAAAAGCTATTATCAGCTCTGTACGTCTACAATACTATTGCTACGTGCCACGGCAGTGCATGTCATGTACTAATATTCTATCGATCCGGTGCGGCAGATATGCAGGTGATGGACGAACTGCGGCACTTCGAGAGCTACGTAGTGGCGCAGCAGCAGGCTGGTGCCTCCATGCGAGTGCTCTACGAACGCGTCCAGAGCAGCGGCAACGTACTGCCGAGACTGTACGGGCATGAAACACTGCTAGCAGTTGATCTCATAACTTATAATTACTGTATTGCTACAGATACTTGCTGGTGACAGTGGGCTCCGTGTACATCAAGTCGCGAGAGGCTCCAGCTCGGGACGTACTGACAGATTTAGTGGAGATGACAAAAGGCGTGCAATATCCACTGCGAGGACTCTTTTTAAGGCACTATTTGTCGCTCAGTGTCCGTGACAAACTCCCGGATACGGGCTCTGTGTACGAGCAATCAGGCGGGGGCACAGTCAGCGACGCTGTTAATTTTCTGCTTCAAAATTTACGAGAAACGAACCAACTTTGGATTCGACTGCAACATCAGAAAATTGGAGGCTCTAGACCGCTGGCAGTGCGAGAAAAAGAGCGAATGGAGTTGCGGTTGTTGGTCGGGACGAGTCTGGTGCGGCTGAGTCAGATGGAGGGAGTCACACGCAGCGTCTACGCTGAGCAAGTGCTGCCTCGGCTACTGGATGATGTCGTGTTAGCCTGTAAAGACTGCATGGCGCAGCAGTATCTGATGGACTGCATTATTCAGGTTTTCCCAGACGAATTTCATCTGCAGAACCTTGACAAGCTGCTGGATGCACTAGGAAAACTACAGACAAATGTCGACGTCGCGTCGGTCTTGACTGCACTTCTTGAACGCCTCACTAAATATCGAGAGGCTCAGAGGAGCGTCACTGACGCAGGACATCAAGAAGTGGAGGTGGCTGAACGTACCAATGGTGAACTGGAGCTACGAGACGGACCCAACTTATTCCAGCAGCTGATGGATACGACCACGAAGCTGTTGCTACGGTCAGCACGACACACTAGTGGCCAGTCTCCAAATGAGAATGGCAATGCTGACGCTCACTTGCACTCTGTGCTGCCGTTTTTCGTGACGTTTGCTGCCTTCACGCTCACGTGGTTGGGTAGCAGTACCAAGAAGAGGAATTCAGACACAACTGTGGCATTACAGCAAGTAGTTTCGGGATGTTTAACGTTTCTACGGGAGCGAACCGCGTGGCGTGTTGACAAGGACAAACAAAAGCGGCAGCTCGTGGTTTCACAGCTCGAATCGCTTGCACTTACGCTACTCCGAGCGCTTTCCATTCAGGACCTGATGCACGTTCCGGCGCTGCGTGAATTACTTGAACTGATGCCGTGGCAAGGAGCGTGGAAGGACGTGGCGCTGGCTTGGATCCGCGTTCTGCTCGCTCGACATGAACGTGTTCACGACGAGAAGCAGATGGACTTCTTACTTCAGATACTGGCACCATTGGTACGTGACGATCCCAGCGAGCTGCAGTCGCCACCGCCAGCCACCACAACGGAAGCAGGGAAGAGTAAAGAGACGGAGACCTTTGAAGTTGAGCAGCAAACACTGGCCAAGGTCGTCCACCTCGTAACCAACGATGACCTTGACGCTAAATTTCGAGTGTTTTCCGTAGCGCGACGTGCTTTTCTACAGAGTGGGGTGTTCCGGATTCGCTTCACTCTTGTGCCGTTGATTAATCAGTCGCTGGCGCTCGCTAGAGACCTAGCAGCGCATTCAAAGGAGAAGATTCAAACTCAAGGACAAGAGACCAAGGCGGAATCGGAGATTGCAACACCAACTGACAGCGCCAAGGCATTTGTGACGACACCCCGCCAAGTTCTTCAATTCGTACACGAAATGGTGACAGCGTTGGCCTCCAAGCAAGATGCGCTGTCCGTGTCGTGCGTCCATTTGTTTCTGCAGTGTGCGCTGGTAGCCGATGGCTGCGCCTTTGAAGCAGTTTCCTACGAGTTCATCACGCAGGCTTTCATAGTCTACGAAGACCAAATCACATTGGCGCGTGAGCAGTGGCGAGCTCTAGAGCTCATGGTGGCTTCACTTCGAGCCACGCGAAATCTCTCGAGTGCTAACTACGAGGTTCTTGCCACCAAGACCACGCAATATGCTGCTCGTCTGCTTAAGAAAAACGAACAGGCCTTGATGGTGCTGAACTGCGCACACCTCTTTTGGGTAAGTGGCTGGAGTTTAAATACCAGCCAGACTCATTGATGTTTGCTACTGTGTCTTTTACCTATGCAGCATCCATCGCAACAAGATGGCAAGAGGGTCCGTGAATGTCTCCAGAGATCGCTTCGTATTGCGGATGCAATGAAGGACACGACGTCGAACCAGGTTCCACTTTTCCTGGAGATATTGGAGACTGTACGTGTGTCTTGATGTGTGATTTCTACTTCCCGACATTGACTGACACCCCCCCCCTTGCTTGCTTTCTGTCAGTACTTGTACTTCTTTGAAGCCCAGACACCTGAAGTGACGCATAATTACCTTGCTGGACTGCTGGCATTGGTCAAGGATCACCTAGACAACATGGAACATGGACAAATGCGCAGAGAAGGAGAGTTCCACTATCGCGCCATCGTGCGCTACATGGACACATTGGGCGTGTCTGATGATGCGCTGTCGAACTCATCGTCGTCTTCGTCGCGGTAATTGGAGCATAACAAGCTGGTACTTCTGGTAATAACAACTGAGTAAATGCGTTCAAGTTTTAATCTGATCCTGGTATGATACCTCCTCGCCAACCAAACTATTGCACCACGTGCGTTCGGTGGCCCAGCCAGACCTGCACCACCAGAACACAGCAAGATTTTGCCGTCTTCTTTCTTTTGTGTATTTACTTGTTCCCTTTCCAGCAGCTCAAAGTCTGCTTCTCGCTGTTCCAATCCACTACTGCCGTCTTAGTGACCGGCATGGTATCCCTCCTTCATCTTGTATCGCACGCCACAGTACTTGCAGGTCTGCGGAATGTTGTGCTTGCGCGTGTCCAGCTGGATGTACTCGACCGGGTGACCCAGGGCGCCACCACCACCGTCGCAAACTGCAACAACGCTGGCCAGCTCCACAATTGGCACCTGAGCGATCCGCTGCTCGGCGTCGCTGCGGTGGCGGTTAATGTCCTAAAATGTGGCGAGTTACAGGTAAAAGATTGTGAATTGGAGTCAATATTTAGTGCAGCAGCTCGCATGGGACGCACCTCGAACGGTGTCTGGTGGTCGTAGATCGTCGAGAAGCTCGAACTCTGCAAACGGAAGGCGGTGGCGGCCGACGGCGCTGCACGAGGTGCGCAGGCGCGTGCCGCAGTGGCCAGAAGCACTTGGGAGCTACGACGCAACATGTTGCTTGGGGATTCGAGACCGAATGTGAGGTGCACGGGCGAATAAACTGGATGTTGCACGAATGTTCTTTAGATACACCCGCTTAAGTACGCCATGCTTGATGTACATCATTATAATAACCCAGCAACAATGCTAGCGCTGGTGGCGGAGGTTGAGGGCGCTTGGGCGGCAGATGAGGACCGAATAAAGGATCTACGTGTGCGGAAATGCGAGGGAATTTCCTCTGCCAAGTTGTTTCTGCAGTCTCGACCTGCTGGCGTGTACACGTGCGCGAGAGCGAAGGCTTCTGCAAAAGTGTCTTCGGAGCTGCCCAAAATGCTTGTAGAGTGGTCCTTCCACTTGCAGCGGTTGTCAGCAGGGATCATTTCGGTGGACAGCAACCTCAACCGTGATAAATTAAAGTTGGACAAGTTGAAGATGGCTACACAAGCACTGGCAGCCGCTGTGATGGCTCAGTGGCGAGCAGTAAAAACTGAGGACGGAATGCTATCTGTTCTCTGGTATCCATTGCCAGCCAGCGACGACTATGGCGTGGCTGTCCATATCTGTCTGATGCCTACACCCAAGTGTCCAGTATCAACGGTGCTGATATATGGAGAAGGTCGGGCGAACGCTCGATGTAAACACTCGCGGTGGATTGAAGACCGTGTGCCCATTGAAACGCACGTGGCGCAGCTAGTGAAAACTCGAGGCGAGCCAATCCACGAAGTGCTACTGAGTAAGGCTGGACCCAGAGGCGACAGATTGCTGTTGGAAGGACTGATTACCAACTTCTTCGTTGGTACGACGCTGGTACTTCGTATTGGTTTTTGCTAATAAGCGGAGTTTAACACGGTGTTTTTTTGTGTGGTTTCAGTGAAAGACTGTAAATTGTACACGGCAGATGGAGGAATTCTACAAGGCAGTACGAGAGAGTTGGTGCTCAAGGCATGCGATGAATTGTCGATTCCAGTGGTGTTGGAGGCGCCGAAGCTCTCGGAGCAGAACTCGTGGCAGGCGGCGTTCGTCACAAGTACGCAAAAAAAAGCTATTGCTGCTTGCCCGAAGCATATTTACCTGATCTTGCTTACGTAATTTGGTCTGGTACAGGCGCCGTTCGCGTTGTAATTGATGTCACGCGTATACTGTTTGCAGAGGAAGATGCCGAGGAGAACGTTCTTGTGGAGGCTTCAATTCCGAGCGATACCAGTGGATTCACTCAAAAGATCCGCGATCAGATAGTGTCACAACACATGTACCTCGGCTAAGATCTAAACGGTGATCGTCGGCTACTCATGAACCTGGCAAAGGTGACGAATGTGGCCTTATGTACAGCTGGGTAACTATTCTGTAAGTTGTGGCAACCTTGGGGTCGCGTTCTCTTTCGAGTTTGTGTTTGGTGGTGCGGGGGCGATGGTTGTATCACTGCATAAGGCATTCGTTTTGTCGAGGTCGGAGACGACACTCGAAGGAGCTGACCACATGAACGACAGCGGTTTGACGAGGATTTCCATTGCTCTCCACACCTCCTCTGGTGCCCCATCCGAACCGACATGCAACTCAACATCATCCGACCGATGTTGAAGCATATCCAGCATGCGTTTGCCACTCGAGTGGTCTGCCAGAACTTGCTGGAGTTTTTCTGATGAGTATGGTGCATTTTCTCGACCACGAAAGAGTGCGTTGTCACCATAGAAGACGATACCAGTTAAGAACACCCCAGTCTGCGATTGAGTCGAATGAATGCAAGCACGGCTAACGTCAGGGAGGGGATACAAAACAGGAGAGCCATATCAAAGTTACAACGCACCCGAAACATACGCAGAGCTATGAAGAGTTCACTTTGATCTTGACCCGACAGGTGCCTGAATCTCACGACGACAGCAGCTCCAACACTAAGTTTAACACTATTGCCACGGGCGGGCCGACTCAGTATTGATGCGCTCTCATGTAGTGCTTTGGCGACATGCTTCATAATCTGTTGGACCCTAGCGCTATTGTGAAGGTGATGTGGAGACGCTAGATCTTGGTCAAAGAAGCGTCCATTTGGCCGAGGAAGTGTCGAGTATACTTTGTCTCCAGTCTCGGCATTCAGCACGAATCCACATTCCAGTCGAATAGCTAGCGAGCTCTGGGCCATAATAGCTGCACCGTTGTGGCTCCATGACATGGTCGAGTTTTGAATGCCTCGAGCTGTAGTCTCCATGACGAGACTGACGAAGCCACTCTGGAAATTGATAAACTCGTCCAATGTGCCTTCAAACCCGTCCTGGAACCCGCCAAGAGCGCTCGTCAACGTGTACTCTTCTGCCTTGAGCTTGGCCTGTTCGATACTTTCAACTGCAAGACGCTCGATGTCGCCTCGATAGCACCGCACGAACTCTTGTAGAATGAGCAAGCTTTTCAGTCGGCCGAGCTGCAGTGGAGAGACCTGTGTACAGCAGAAGTCGTCGTTGTCCTTGCTTGCCCTTGGTGGTGTAGCACAAATAACCGCGACTGAGACTTGTGCATCGACATCTGAAGAGATCAGCACTGTGAAGCCATTTTGCAGCTCTAGATGAGCGAAGCACTGGGCGTGTGCGAAGTGGAAGAGGCTGGCGAGCAGCATGGCGAGCTGCGGATACTGGAACGGCAGTGTGTCATCCTGGTCCCACAAGAGGAGAATGCGTCCCGATGTCGTCACGATCAAGCATGCAACAGCTGAGGAGCTGGGAATGTACTCGGTCATTCTGTTGAGCCGTATCCAAGTTTTCTAAAACACGAAGACTCGCAGCAGCAGCAGCACATTCACGCAAAAAGACAAAGCAAAGTAGGAAACTGCACCACAACAGTTCATCCGCTATTTCTGAATCAGCGGCACCTCCACAATGTTAACTGATATCATCATTACTAGGACCGAAAATCAAGAGCTACGCGGTGCTTAGACTGGGTCAGTCGGTAAAAAATAATTTGCGTTGGTTCTTCAGGATTGCTTACACATATCGTTGCTCTGTGGAGCTTCACTCCTGGTGGTTGGACTCGCAGAGCTTGTGGACGTGTCATCTAACGAGCCAAATCGGATGGGAGTCGTGTAGTCTTTCGACGTCAAAGCTTTCATGGATCGCCCTGCTGGTTGGTGTTCACCTGCAGCGGGGGCAGGAGCTTGCATCAGCGGAAGCGAAATCATTGGCATCGACTTGAAAAAATCTCGATTAGCAGCGGCGGAAGACCTGGCCGCCTCGTCTTCAGCCTCAAACACGGCCAACTTCCCCTGAATATCTGCCGTCTCTTTGTCCAACGCTGCGCACTCCGCGAGTTTAGATTTCTTCTCCTTTTCATGCGCCAGTTTGAGCGAGTTCTTGTCTTTTCTCGCCTGAGATTTCAACTGGCGCTCGAAGTTGGCCTGCTCCGTCCGCATACGATCCACCTTCTTGGCGTGTTCGTTCTGCAGACCAAAGACCTTCTGGACGTGTTTCGTCTTCTTGTGCACGAGCTCGCGCTCCAATTGAACAATCTGAGCCATCAACTCTTTCTGCTCAACCAGCAGCAATCGCTCTTCCTTGTGAAAACTGCGCTGTCGTTCCAGAACTTGCGAGGCGGCAGCTGAAATCTCTTCTTTGCGTTGACGGTCTGCAACGATGGACTTCTCCAGCTCCTCTGTCCGACTGCGAGCCCACGCAAGGTCGCTCTCGGCGTTCTGCACATGTACTTCGTGCTTCAGATTCATGGTCGCAAGCTCAGTCTTGCGTCGTTCCAGCTCACTCTTCGTTTGGTTAAGCTCGCTGTGGAGCGTTCGACGCAGTTCAGAGAGTTGCTCAGTAGCCTGTGCCAGTTTCGATTCATACAAATGCTTCTGGTCGTTCGCAGACGCGGTCGTTTCTGCATCCTGCACCTTGGAAAGCTCGTACTCACGAGCCAGTGTCTCCTTCTCGTCCTTCCAGCTCCGCATGTGTGTCTTGTACTGTTCAAGCACCATCGCGCTCCACTTCTGAATGGATCCACCTACAGACTGCAACAGGGCCTGCTCGAGACAAAAACCCACTGCCGGTCCGCTGCTTTGCTGCGCGTACTCGTCGAGAGCACTCCGAAGGTCCGACTTGTACTGCGTCACCAGACGCACCAAACCATCAGAGAACTCCTCTCGTGATCTTTCAGCCAGTTCGGTTGCCATAGACTCGAGGTTCTGTGGAATGACACGCTCGAGGATCTTGGTGCAGATACCTGCTGACAGCTTGGTGTTGTTCTCTAGGGTCTCCAGAAAGTCACGCTTCACCTGTGCTTCCCAACTCGCTACATTATCCTTGAACAAAGTTCTTTGCAGCCTCTCCGGAAGCTTTGATCGCACTTCACGAAGATGTGCCATGGCTGTCTGAACTCCACGGAAATGCGCAACATACAGAGCTCGCTCGCTTATGGCCCTTTCGCCGTCATTTCCCTTTTGCCTCTCGTTCGCGTACGTTTGTCTGGCGATTCCAAAAGCCTCTGTGAGTTCCTTCTCCACTAGTGCGTTTGACGCCTTCTGCATCGTTGGAAACTGTCCGGCATTCAGTGCATCCACGTAGGCGTCCAGCACCGCTACAAATTGTTCCGAGCGCAGCTCATGGCCCATCAACTGCTTCGACGGTAGCTTCTGAGCCTTTTCCGATAAATAGTCCGCGTACAACTCGTCCACTGCCTCGACAAACTGCGTGCGCAGTTCGCTGCGTGGCGTCTCAGGCAGCACAGCCTCCGTTCCATTGGCCTCCACTGCACGACTCAGCGTCGCGCAATCTCTCACTGGAAAGTACGACTCCACATACATACGCAGCATATTCCTCCTGGTAGCAGCGTCTCCGTAGCCTCCTTCAGGGGATAAACACTGTTCGAGATACTGCGAAGGTGTCAATTTGTGTCCCTCTGCATCCTTGAGCCACTTTATCTTAAAATTTCTGGCTAGCCAGATGAATTTGGGCGCATGTTCATGGAACTCACTAGCTGCAGCCACCATTACATCAATAAGACCAGCTGTTAGCGTCTCTTTAAGGCAAAAATGGCGAGTTCACCTCACCCACAGCTTCTTCGTCCTGCATGGCCTTGATTCTCAGCACCTGCGCCACCTTCTCGACCCATTTCAGGCTATCCACAGCCTCAGCACTAATCTCTCCGTCTGTGTTGTACATTAGTGCCGACGAGAGCAGCAAGAGTAGCGCCAGCTTTTGGTCCTCAGCAAGTTGTCCGTTCTCGGTTTCTAGTGCCGCTCCAGCAGCCAGAACGATGTGAGCTTTGTCTCTAGTCTCCGCACTTCCGTCTTGATACAGCCACAGCCATAGCAACACGTTACTTTCGCCCTCAAACGCAGCAGAAAAGTCTTCTACTTGAGGCTGTAGCAGTGTGTGGAGCAGCAGACGTTTGCCGCTCGCTGGGGGGCCGAATAAGCCGAGAACGCGCACATTCTGGGCATTCATCAAAAGCAGAGCGTCTCGCGCATCTGCTGAGACCCGCAGCGCAGCACCAGCGCCACTGGGTGCAGAGAAAACTAGCGGCAGTGCGCGCCAGTGACCTGCCATAGAGCTTCTTGCCTTTCCCAAAAACTGATTTTGATTGGCTTAATGGGTTCTTGAAATAGGTCCTTTCCCATTTTTTGCCGATCCATTACCCATTTTGCTCTTACACGTACAGTACATGTACGATGGCCGAGCTTTCTTGGTTGCAAGCGCCTTACTTCACGGAGCCAGGATGGAGGCCCAGCACGAGCCCCGTGCCCTATTTCCTGGGCGCACTGATCTTTATGACTGTCGTCTACCTGCTCGAGACGTATCTGGACATTCGTCAGCACCGTAAACTGCACGATAAGCAGTTCCCTAAGCCTCTGACTGAGGCCATCGAGGGCCTTGGCAGCTACAACATTAAGAAGAAGGACGAAAAGGAACCAGAGGACGACAAAAGGGAGGATGCCGATGCACAGGAAGAAGAGGAGACGACGCTGTTGGCTGCCATCCAGGCAAAGTTCGACAAGAGTCGCGCGTACGGACTGGACAAGAGCACTTTTGGCTTCGTGCACGGCGTCTACAACCAGCTGGAGGCCATCGCCTTCTTGCTCCTGGGCTATCTACCCTTTGTGTGGACCATGAGCGGCAAGGCGCTATTGTTTTTGGGACTGGACGCCGACAATGAGATTTACCGAGCTCTGATGTTGCTGACTCTTACGACTATCCGGAACACACTCGTGGGCATCCCCTTCGGTCTTTACTCGACGTTCGTGGTGGAAGCGCGTCACGGTTTCAACAAGCAGACACTGGGGCTGTTCTTTATGGACATGATCAAGAGCTTCGGGCTGTTTATTGTCATTGGCTTCCCCGTCACAGCGGCGTTGATCTACGTCATCCGATGGGGAGGAGAGTATTTCTACATGTACGTCTGGGCGTTCCTGTTCGCCTTCTCCGTCATCATGATGACGCTCTATCCCGTGCTCATCATGCCCCTATTCAACAAATTCACGCCGCTAGAAGAGGGCGATCTTCGTACGCGCATCGAAGCGCTGGCTGCGAGTCTCAACTTCCCGTTGACCAAACTCTTCGTCACGGACGGCTCCAAGCGCTCTAGCCACAGCAACGCCTACTTCTTCGGACTATTCAAGAGCAAGCGCATTGTGCTCTTCGATACGCTACTGGAGCAGGCGACGCACGACGAGATCGTCGCTGTACTGGGCCACGAACTTGGGCACTGGAAGCTCTGGCACACCGCACAAGGCTTTGTGATCCAACAAGTGTACATCTTGGCTTCGTTCTACGTGTTCGGTCTTTGCATGAATGATGCCGAGCTGTTCGCGAGCTTCGGCTTCGCAGGCGACTCGGCCAAGCCTGTGATCATCGGCTTCTTGCTCTTTTCGCAGACCATGTGGGCGCCAGTCGAGCACGTCTTGTCCTTCCTGATGACGTTGAACACGCGCAAGAACGAGTTCCAGGCCGACGCGTTTGCAGTGGATCTTGGACACGCTGTTGCGCTCAAGTCGGGACTCACCAAGCTCGCGATCGAGAACTTGTCCAACATGAACCCGGACGTGCTGTACAGTGCCTACCACTACAGCCACCCGCCACTCGTTGAGCGTCTCAATGCCATCACAGCGCGTGCCAAGAAGTCGCAGTAAGAGCAACCAGAAGCTATGAGCCATCTCTATGTAGTCTTCGGCTCTTAACTAGGGACGACATCAACATGACACTTTACAGCTCCGTCTTGCACCTGAGCACTCCTCATCCTGTACGAATACGCTGCCTCCCCCCGCAAGGTTTACACTTGTAACATACGCACTACTGATGTATTTACGTCCAATTACTGTAGACAAACACTACGCATCGCGCCATGGACTCTCCTGGTCAACAGTTTAGTCTGATGAACAGGCCCAAGATGACGGCCGAAGTCTAAGCACACGTGTTCGTACGCTTCACTCGTTGGTTTGGTGCTTGTTAGTACGGACTCCTTGCCAGCACGACGTAGCGCATCCGAGTCTGGCTGGGGTTGTAGATGATATACTCGCTGTGGTGCAGTCCCGTTCGCTCCTCCGGTTGGACTGGTTTCCCTACGGGCCAAATGGCTCCGTGGATATCCACAACTTCACCAGCAGAGTCCGGACGACACGACCCCACACCTTTGCAGCTGTGATAGTAGGCTCCCTTCGCACGCCCTCCAGCTCCTGTGTGCACAAACTGCTTGGCATTGTCGTCCGAGTTGAGCATCTCCTTGCTCTCACCCAACGCCACTTCACTCAGCGCGAATACACACTGATTATGGCCGTTCGTAGGTCTGCAGTGGCAATACGCCTGTGCCTTTGTCACTTTATCCGTGAAGTACAGTCCTTTACCAAACGTCCGTCCATTCGACGCAACTTCAGGCGGTGCGATACGCAGCCCTTCCGACAAGATGCCCAACCAGTTCGCCAAGTGGCTGCCATGCCAGAGAATCTATGGCAACGCAGCAAACCGCGCAGAAGCGGTTAGCGCTCACAGGTCGAGATAAAACACAGCAAAAAACTAGCAAACAACAAGGAACACACAACAATTCAACGCCTTACCCGTCGGTTGGTAAATGTGCGGAAAGGCTCAAAGCGCGTCTCCTGCTCGGGCTTCTCAACGCGAAAGACCGACAGCAACTGCAATCGGTCTTGCTTCCGCCCGCAGCAGTTGGAGTTACGAATGTACGTCTGAATTAGCGCAAAATCGGGGTCCGAGCTCTTCACAGGTTGCAGCTCACACTCTAACAAATCGTAACACGCATCCAAGTAGTTTCTCGACGCACACCGTCGAGCCACAAACTCGTGAACCATCCCACGCACACTCGCCCCGACTTCAGCCATCAGCTGGACCTTCTTGCCTAGTTTCACCATCGTATCAATAACTTCCAGACGCGAATGGTGCGGAATAAGTGAGTAGAAGTGGCTACTGAGGTTCGACAGTCGCGCTCGAGACACCTGTCGACTCTGAAGCGCTTCGTAAATCTCCTCCAGCGTCTCGTATCCCTGCCAATTATAACTACAACGTTAGCATAACATGAACACCATGTCAGCTATCTCACTTCAACTTCAACATACCCGTTTAATGGTCGTCTTGGACAGACGGCCGAGTGGCAACTTCATGATAGCGTCCCCCAACAGCTCGTCTGTGACTGTATAAGCATACGACAGCTCCGTGTGGTCCGCAACGAGCGTCAAAAAGTCCTGCACCTCGGTAGGCAATCGCGACGGCGGCGCAGTGGCACACGCGCACGTGGAAGTCTCGGTGGACGCTGCACTGGCCGTGTCTCCGTCTGAACCTGCATACAGCCAGTCGAACTGGTTGCTCAGCGACCGTCGTACACTGGTGCTGGACGTTGCAGTCGTGGTCGAAGTTGACGTTGCAGTGGAGTACGTCGTCCATATACCCGCTCGACGTCGCTTGCGCGTATTAGACGGAGCCATCGGAAGCGGCGGAGACGCCGTCGGAACCAGGTCAAAGTCTCGGAAACTGTCTGCGTTGTCCATTTCTCCCTGATTGTCTGCCAGCGCCGATGTTAGCGACTCGGAATACGGCGTTCCAGTTGAATAGTCGAGCTCGATCCACGTGTAGCTGCCTTCTTGGTATCTCAGAGCATGACGCTCCTCCCACTCGCAGTTGGTATTGGATGCGAACAACGTGCAGAACTCGAGTGTGACCTTCTCAGCACTCGGGAAAGGGCCTGTGAGCGTCGTCTTGCCTGCACATCCGACACGTCCAGCTCTGGTCCAGAGATAGAACTGCTTGTCGAACTCGAGCGCCTGTAACGCGATGAACTCGCTGTGGTTGTTGTGGACACGCGCCTGCAGTTAATGCGATGCACAGTACACAAGACGTAAGTCTCTTATTCAACCTCTTTCGATACTACAAAATCCATCTCGTACTCGAGTGAGCATGGCGTCGTAGAAGCTCCCAGCGTGTCGGAGTACGGCGGCTCGGTGTTGATAGGACTCAGGCAGATACGGATCAGGTTTAATAAGCAGCAGCTTCTCTTCATCGTCCTCCGTCTCGGTGTCGCTGTTGTGCACGCAGCAGTTGGTCCTACCATCATTCTCGTCTTCATCTACATCGTCGTCTGGCAACTGGAGTTTGACGGCTTTGGCGCTGCGTCGCGACGTGACGCGTTTCTTGAGTGGAGGTGACAATACAGGCAGCTGCGCCACAGTGAGCTGCGAGCGCGTGCTGGCGGCCACACCCGAACGCGACGTGTGTACGCGCGGCAAGTTGAAGCGACTCGAGCGACTGGGCGTCGCCGGAGAAGGGTACGGGAAGGGCGACGAGCTCATGGCAGCAGCGGCAGGCGACGCCTTCTGGGCAGAAGATGTGGACGCGCGACGCTTCTTGGCCATCGTGGCGATCCGTCGCTTGAGGGTATGTATCTGTCTGCGGCTCCGGCGGCTTGAAATGAACTGGGGCTGCGGCTTCCTCCCTTCTTCGGCGGTGGCGGGTCTGCTGTGCTCCTGGGCCGGGTCGGAGTCGTTTAGTTTTGATGTTTGTATGCACTGATTCATACACGACGCCTGTGATACTGGTTACCGGTTTTGCCGTGTCTTGAAGCGACGGAAAGCGAGAAAAAGATGGGCCGACAGTCGTTGCAGTGTGCGTCATTGCCAGCATATTGTAGAGCATTATGGTCGTAAGAGGATATCTCTAGCTATACATGATGTTGCTGCTGTCATTGTCGTGTTTCCCTCGCTTTTCGGTGGTCAATCACTTTGACAAGCACTTTTTTATTGAGCTGCCGTCGCTGAACGGCGGAAATGATAATATCATTAAATGATATTAGAGCGTAGCTCCAATAATACTGGAGCTACACCGAGCAAGTATCACCGTGATACACTCACTAGAAGTACTACTGCAACTGCTGTAGTGAGTGGAAAACATGTCGATGCAAGTGCTAAGCGGCAACTTGCCATTTAACTTGTGACCGGCGTGAATGGTTGTCACCAAGTTGAAGACAAGCTCAGATCTGATAACGGTCCCTGTTTTCACACACGATTACCATTGGTCAAAATCTGAGCCTATTTCTTTAGAGTCACAGTGTCGAGGGAGTGTAGTGTCCAAAATACATCACTTTTGACGACATGGCGGCGGTAGGCGCCGTTGTGGACGCCGTCTTCGGTTCGTACGACGTTAAGAACGCCAAGCAATGGCGCGACGAGGACCTACTGCATCGTGAACAGGAGAAGCAGTGGCGCGAGGACTCTATTCAGCGCGAATACGAATGGCGGCGTGCCGATCTGGAGCGCGAGCGGCGGGTGGTAAAGCTCGAGAACGAGAAGCGCATCATCGACGCGCGGCATCGACAACTCGTGACCGTCTCACAGATGTCAGCACTTCTTGCAGGTTTTACAATGTCTACGATCGTGGAGGTGCAGATTGCCGACGCTACAAGCCAGCCAGTGATGATCCTGTACGGCGCTGTGTGCAGCTTAGAGGTGAGACGAGTGGAATGTGACGAGGAGCTATACTCCTGAAGTTGCTCTGTGCATAATTGACGCTATGGCTGCTGTTGCTCTCGCTCTTGTCGCTGCAGTTTATAGTTATGTTAATGTGCATGCTGACGTGCATGGCGCTGCTGCTGGCGCTCACACGATTCGTTACGCACACGTTAGAAGGCGAGGTGCACGCGCTGTCATCGCTAGAGCTGGACGTAGTCTCGCCCTTCTACGGCTGGTGGCTCAGCAAGTGCGAGCGCGAGTGGATCCTGGCCTACCATCTCTTTAGGAGCGGGGTGGCCTTGTTCCTTACGCAGGTGGCTCTGCTAGGTTGGGCTGTGTTCGGCGAGTGGGTGGCAGCCGCATCGTGCATGACGGTGCTCTGCGCGCTGGCGCTTGCATACTTGGAGCTGCGGATCGCCAGTCGATGGAGATATCTCTGGAGGTTTCCGGAGTCGCATACGCCCGGATCCCCCACAGCGACAGCAAGGAGGTCGACAGTCGATGCACCACCGCCAATAACTCCATAGAACAAGCAGCGTTCATTGCCAGCGTCACCGACCTCGCTCGAGCAAACAAACTGCTTGCTTGCTCGCTGCAAGCCTTGCGTACGTGGCGCGGATCTCCGTTCCGCCTCTCTGCTCTCTGCAGCTTTTTCTTGTGGCTCCGCACATTTGCGCATACACACCATCTAATCTTACAGGTAAATTTGTATATAATTTTGATTTTGTCATCTATAAACTTTGCGCAATATTCAACGTCAGTCTGCCTGCTTCACTGAAGCCACACCCAATCATTACGCGATAAGCTGCGCAAAGGGCAAGTGACGATGGCAGACAAGTTCGTGGTGCACAAGTTCGGCGGCACGTCCGTAGGCAGCGCCGACTGCTTCGCCAAGGTGGCAGACATCGTGTCGGGTATTGAAGCTCCGCGCGTGGCTGTGGTGGTGTCGGCCATCGGTGGCAAGCCAAAGGTCACGGACCTGCTCATCTCGCTGCTCGAGCTGGCAAAGCAGCGCCGCACTGCCGAATGCGACGAGATCCTGGCAACTCTCCGTAAGAAACACCACGATGTGGTGAGCACATTGCTGCCTCCCGAAGTGGGTGAGCCCATTGAAACGGCCATCGAGCGCGACTTGCAGTCCGTCTCGGAACTGCTGCGCTCCATCTCCATTATGCAGGCATACAACGATAATGTGGTAGAATTCATTTCGGGTCACGGTGAGATCTGGTCAGCCAAGATCCTTACAGCTGTGCTGAGCGAGAGGATGCAGAATGACGGTAAGAAACATCGTTTCCAGTTCGTGGACGCTCGTGACTTCCTGACAGTCGAGGCGGACAACGAACACGGTCCGGTGGTGCAGTACGATTTGTCGGAGCAAAAGATGAATGCGATTCTGAAGAACGGAGAGGGTGATGAGATCACGCACGTGGTCATCACTGGATTTATCTGCAGCACCGTCGAGGGCATCATGACCACACTCAAGCGTGACGGCAGCGACTTCACAGCCTCAATCTGTGGCCGTGTGCTACACGCCAACAGCGTGACGATCTGGACGGATGTGAGCGGTGTGTTGAGCGCCGATCCGCGTCGTGTGCCGGAGTCCCAAATTCTGCCCGAGATCTCGTACCAAGAAGCCATGGAGCTTGCGTACTTTGGTGCCAAGGTCATCCACCCGAAGACCATGGCGCCTGCAATTGACGAGGACATTCCTATTTACATCCGCAACACTTTTGAGCCTGAACACCCAGGCACGAAGATCTCCGACCGTAAGAAAGTGGAGCTCAAGCGCACCATGTCGAATGGAACCCCCACAGCTCGCAACATTGTAAGCGGATTCTCCACAGTAGATGACCTGGCGCTATTTAACATTGAGGGCAGTGGCATGGTCGGAGTGCACGGCACGTCGTCTCGACTATTCAGCGCTCTGGATCGCGTCAAGGTGAACGTTGTGCTGATTGCTCAGGCCAGTTCGGAGCACTCGATCTGCTTCGCTGTGCCCATGGACTGCGCCGAAGTGGCCAAGGAAGTGATCAACGAGACGTTCTTTAAAGAAATTCACGTGGGACACATCGACAAGGCCGAGTACATTGCTCCGATCAGTATTATCGCCGCGGTGGGCGACCAGATGAACCAGACCCCTGGTGTGTGCGCTCGCTTCTTTGGTGCGCTAGGCCGCGCAAAGATCAACGTGTTGGCCATTTCTCAGGGTTCCTCGGAGCGTAATATCTCCGCTGTGGTGCACTACGAGGACTCGGCTGCTGCTCTGCGTGCCGTGCACTCGTCGTTTTTCCTGTCGGACCAGACTCTTTCTATTGGTTTGATTGGCCTCGAGTTCGAGGAAGATGAGACCAATAGCATCGGTGTGGCTCTATTGAAGCAGTACCACCAGCAACGCGAGTATCTGAAGCAGCGTTTCAACGTGGATATCCGCGTGCGTGCTATCGGCACTCATATTACGTCGCAGATGCTGCTAGATGTCGACGGTGACATTACGGAAGAAGTTTTGGCAGCCCGTAAGAACGAGTTCGTGCCATTCGACCGAAACAAGTTCCTGGATCACGTCTGTGCCGACCATTTGCCGCACTGGCTGATCGTTGACGTCTCCAATAGTTCGCATCACGTCAAGGACCTGTATCCGCAGTGGCTGGCTCGTAAGGTGCACGTAATGACGTCCAACATTAACGTGTCGTCAGCCTCGACAGAGCAGCATAACGCTATGCAGGAGATGGCGATTGAGAACGAGTTGACGTACGACCCAGAGGCTACATTGGCTATTGGTGTACCCATTTTCAACACCATCCAGAACTTCATCCAGACGGGTGACGATATCCAGCGGGTAGAATACTCGGGAAGCCGCTTCTTGCACGCTGTTTTCGACACTGTGTTCGCACTACCGAAGCCTGCCGAGGCTGATCTGGGAGCTATTATGAAGGGTCTTATGGACGAGTACAAGAACGAGTTCAGCGTGCGCGATATCGTGGACGACGTCATGGGCGTACGTAGTGCCAAGAAGGCCATTATGATCGCTCGCGAGATGGGCTACGACATGGAGATGAAGGACGCCAACATCGAGAGTCCTTGGGATCCCAGCGCCACCGTTGCTGGCAGTCAGGATGAGGTTGGCGCCTGGAGCTACGAGTATCTGTTGGAGCATCTCGTGAAGGCCAGCGAGCCGTTGAAGCAGCAGATCGCCAAGACTGTAGCAGACCCGGAGCAGGCACTGCAGCTGCGCCAGGTGAGTTATATTGATGCTGCCACGGGCAAGATCTCGGTGCGAGTGGAAGCTCTGCTACCGACGCACTCATTTGCCTTGCTTAAATGCCGTCAGGGTGGTTTTGCCTTCTACACGCTGCGGCATTCTCTGCACCCCGTGGTGGTCACGGGCCCCATCGCAGATTGCTCGATCACGGCGGGATCACTCTTCGGCAGCACACTGTTCCTAGCCAGGAATTGCGGTGCACGCGCCCACAACTGCGACCACGCGTGCAAGATTAACAAGAAAAAGTAAGCGAGCGCTTTTAGAGCCTCCAAGTGTTGTGCACACGTGAGCGTTAGTACATAAAGAACCCATAAACGACGTGAAGAAGTGCCCTGCCCATCAAATTGGACCTTGTTGAGTAAATATAGTACATGTACCGGTACATGAATACGGTCGGTTCTTGTACGACTACGGCAACGGGACACTCATGCGTCTGCTGGTTGAAGGTTTGACGAGATATCTCCATCGACTGGCAATTCGGAGGTTGTAGTATAGCAAGCCGCAAACGCAGAGTACGGAGACAACTACGGACGCTGCTGTGGACCTGACGAGCACGATCCAGCTAGCTAAGCTGACAGCAACCAGGAAGAAGGACGCGCCCGTCCTGAACAAATGGTATGCGAGCAGCCACTCCTGCTCGCACTTGAACGTCCACCAGTCTGTAAATGGAGAGACTGTGTCCAGCTCCCCGTCCGAGAGTTGCCGCACTTCACCGTCTAGTGTATGCGTCACGAATCTCGTGAGTGCCAGCAGCAGCAACGTGCATGTCAGAGTACACAGCAGCATACAGAGAAACTCGAGCACGCCCACAGTCCCGTAGATGATAATTAGGGGATCGCTTGTGTCGCTCTGCAATGACTTGATCTCCTGGATGAACATGATAGAGAAGAACGCCATCATGGCGGACAGCTGCGAAACGGTCTGCAACTGCTGGTGGCGCGCGTCGATCAGTCGCTTCTCCGACTCGAGTTTGGCCAAGCGGCGCTCGCGTTTCAGGTCGGCACGACGCCACTCGGTCTCGCGACGGATAGCATCCTCGCGCCACTGCTTCTGTTGTTCACGGTATAGCAGGTCCTCATCGCGCCACTGCTTCGCATTCTTGACGTCATATGAGCCGAAGACGGCGTCTACAACCGCTGACATCTGCAATTCGGAAACACCTAGATTCTAACAATAGCTTTTATTATTATTAAATCTCTGATCATATTTTGGCTAATACTGTATCGTCTGCTTAACAACAGTCTGATGCAGCCAACAATATTATGTACCGTCCACTCTAATTAGTCGTGCCATGACTAATAATGGTGATGAGCGATGAAGTCTGAAAATACGATTTTAGGTGCACGACTATACTGTATTAGGGGCATGACTAATTATGGTGAAATCGACTGTCTATTTTAGGGACTGCTGTACAGTCGCCGATGCTGCGCACTCTTCGTAGCCTTTATCAAACTTGTTGCGCGTATGCAGAGACTTCTCGACGTAAGCTAGGAATCCAATGTAATGCACACACGAATTCCTATTGACTACTTAGCCTTCAGCTCTCTCGACACTAACGCGTTTCTTACCCTGCGAAATGGAGACTGAGCTAACTAAATGTAAATACAACGTGAGAAACCCCAGCGACCTTCACTCACGGGACACTTGCCGGGTCTCTCCTGTGGGAGACTGCTCCAATGCGAGTGCTGCTTCAACTTGCAGAGCATACTGAATTCACAACACGGCCCCCTCCGACTTGTCGGAACATCAATCGTGAGTTGACTGCAGCTCGGCAGCCATTCCGATTTTCTCACGATACTTCGCCAGACTTCGCTTGGGCAATGGCTTGGTGAACATGTCAGCCGGGTTCTCCAAGCCTGCGACCTTGTGGATCTCCACCAAACCCTTCATTACTTGGTCGCGTACATAATGCCAACGAAGTTCAATGTGGCGGGTACGACTATTATACGTTGGAGCTGTAGCCAACGCAATGGCTGTGTTGTTGTCCAAGCCTAACTCCAAACTGGTGCTAACGTTGATAACAGGATGCACCTCGTCCAGCATATTGACGATTCCACGACCTTCCATCGCAGCTTCACAAGCAGCGACATACTCAGCTTCTGCTGTAGACTGCGCGACGATTGTCTGTCTTCGAGCTGCCCAAGCCACTGCACCACCGGCAATCGTCATCACAAACCCTGTGATACTCTTCCGGGAATCAGGATCATTCCCCCAGTCTGAGTCGCTGTGGGCGCTTATCACAACCGAGTCAACACCAGTGTCACCCAGAGAGTACACAATACCCAGGTTCTTTGTTGACACCAGGTAGCGTAAGATACGCTTGACTGCGCCACAGTGCTTCTGCGTCGGGTTGGCAACGAATCGACTAAGATATCCTACCGAGTAGGCAATATCTGGCCGAGTGCTTGTGGCTAGGTACATCAGCGCTCCAATAGCACCACGATAATCGAAAGACGGCTCTTCATCTTGAGCACTTGTGCTTTGACTATACTTTGCTGTTGTTTCCATCGGGGTCGCACTGCCGTGTGCCCCATCAAATCCGAATCGCTCCAGGATCTCGTTGCAGTACTTTTCTTGGTGAATGCGGATGCAGTTGTCACTTTGTTCAACTTGCACTCCCAGAAACGAATGCAGTTTACCTCCATCTTTGAAGCCATATTTTTCGTCAAATGCTGCGAACAGTGATTTTTTGAACTCCACAGAGTTTGTAGCGAGTACTACGTCGTCGACGTACAACGGAATCATTGCGAACACACCGTCCTTGCAGTATACGTATAGACACGGCTCCGTCTGTGTACTCACGAATCCCATCGATTTCAGCCAGCGGTCGATTTCCTCGAACCATTCTGCTCCAGACTGGTGAAGACCGTATAGGGCATTGTTTACTCGATACACTTGACCTTTCGGGCAAGGGAAGCCAGGAATCCCACGAACGTACTACTTTATCTTCAAAACAGCGTTCAAGTATGCCGTATCAATATCCCCTTGGTATAAGTCGAGCCCTTGCTTTTGCTGCAATAGCCACAACTACACGGAAAGTTACCATCCGAGCCACTGGTGAGAAGGTCCACTCAAAATCAACTCCGAATTGTTGAAAGTCACCACGTCCGACCAAGCGAGGTCGCCACCGTGTAACATATCCTTCATCATCCGTTTTGGCTTTGAATCGCCACATGGTACTCAGTAGATGCGCCTCGTCCGGCATCTCACTCTCGTCAATCAGCTCAAAAACATCCTTCTTGAACATTGCATTGACCTCACGCTCCATTCCCTCTAGCCACTCACGACTTTGAGGCGAGCGCATAGCCTCTGGAAAGCTTCGAGGTATCTTAACATCCTTGATGTGCCATCGATCTTCTTCAGGTCCAAAATCTGATTCTTTGACTGATTCTCTTCTGCAAAAGCTTGCATAGAGATGGTAGTCTCCTAGACGGTAAGGAACATGACGCTCAGATTCCGATCGAAGGATCATTCGCTGGGGCTGTCCTCCGGCGTCTTTCAGTCGCTTGTGCTCTTGCACATCTACGAGTTCAGCTTCCAGCGAAGAACGTAGATTACCAGTGAGTACTTCCGGCTCCATCACAGTGTCTATTCCGTTGCCGGCATCAACTGCAATGATCTGGTTATCCACTTCTTCTTGAAGTCCCGTGGATTCACGCCGCAGTGCGAATACATCTCCCGCATCCTCTTCAGTAGGGTCTGTTGCATACTGAGCTTCATAGCGCTCAAGATGCTCGCAGTCGTAGGTATTCACTATATCCAGTCTATCCCACGGCGAATGCAGCGTCCAATCACTTTCAGCAGGTGAACTACCTTCTCCCTTGTGATTCTCGCATTCTTCACTGGAAACTTGACCTGGATCACCATCATGCTCGAAGAGTTCATCAGTATCATTAGGCTCTTCGCACATTTGGCTCTCTAGCTCAGATGACGGCGAGGGTTCCACCTCCATGGCCTCATCATCACTATTAGCAGGATCATCGATCATAGGCTCGCCTGATCCGCTAAGATCTTCGCTCTCTTCAGTCTTCTCCTCCGGGGCATTATCTCCATTCACATGAACTTCAGCTTGTTGACCAGCGTCTTGAGCTGTTACTTCCGTTAGATCTTGAGACTTTTCCGGTATTTGAGAAGAGACGTCGGGCTGTGACATCGTTTCGTCTTCACTAGCACGACTTACTTCTTGATCTGCCCTCGATTTCAGGAAATCAGTATACATCGGCATACTCATCCACTCCTTAGTCCCACTAAGGTCACTCTCCGGTGACTCAATAGTGTCATAGTGAGTGTGCGCAGCAGGCGATAATTCCTCGATCTTCTCATCATCTGGCAAATTTGGCGAATCAGGTGGCGAATTGTTGTCCTTCTCGGCAGCAACATCCTGTTCGTCAATGGCGCTCCTGTACGTAATACCAGGTGCGTCTCCTCTCCGTTGTTCTTCATCTACCGATGACAACCAGCTCTTGACGTTGTTGGGGTAGCCTTCCTGATACCGGTCCTTGTAGAGAATTTCCTCGTTGACAGACGCATGCAAGACGTGCTGTACCACCTTCTCCGTTGGGAAATAGACCTCATACCCTGGTTGGCCCTCCAGGTAACTGACCACAAAGCCAATACGGCAGTTGTTATCTAGCTTTCGACGCGACGGGTCCTTAGCCCGGTGCACGTAGGCTACTGCTCCGAATCTTTTCAGGCGATGTAGATCAGGTTTCTTGTCCATCATCAAGCGATACGGCGTATCCTTGATAGCTTGACAGTACGACCGATTGCGAATAAATGTAGCCATTTTCAAGGCATACATCCAAAACTGAGGCTTCGGCAAGCCTGCCATGGTGAGCATTGTCTTCATCATGTGTGTCAACGTCTGATTTGCTCGTTCGGTAAGATTCAGATGCGAACCATGGGGAGGGTTTGGCAGAAACGCTATCCCCTGTTGTTGGTACCACTGATTCATCTCCTCGTTGACGAACTCCTTGCCACTGTCCGTGATCACTTTCAGCACCTTGAATTTGCTGAACTGGCGCTCAGCCCAAGCGATATAGCGTCGCATGGCCGTGTTCACCTCATAGGCAGTCTTCGACTTTAGCGGATAGACCGTCGTATAGCGTGAATAGCCATCGACTATAACTAATACAGCCTTGGGAAGTTTGGCACTTGAGCTCTGGTGAGGAAATAACAGGTCTGCAAAGACAACTTGGTTCTTCCGCCTGATCTCACGCTCCAGCGTTTGCTTGGGCGAAGGTTTTCTCTGCTTCCCCAAGTGACATGCTTTGCAGTCCGCGAAGCTACGCTGTCGCAGCAACATACCAGTAACAAGATCATGGTCGACCATCATCTTGACAAACTGCGGGCACAGATGGCCCAGTCGTTCGTGCCATCTCTGCAGATCAGCTGCGCCATCTGCAGCCGTGATGGTAACACGGGGCGGAGGCTGGTGCGAGGAGGTCTGCTCCTCGACCTTCGGGTTCTCCCTGGTGTTTTTCGGAAGAAATGAGTTCCGAGCAGAAAATGTGTACAGTCCAAATGGGTCACGGCCCACTTCTAGAAGCTTTTTATCTCTCTCCCAGAGCTCGTACACTTTCTTGCCCTTTCGTCCATGATACTCAATATCATAACCTTGGTCCTCAGCCTGCGAGTGTGACAGCAGATTCTTGCTGTCCGGAACGAAGAATACATCTCGAAGAGTAAGGATCACAACAGGTCCACTGTTTTTCACCTCAATCTGTACCGTTCCATGGCCAAGCGGAATAGCCGCAAAACTTCTTCTGAAATCCGCGTACTCTGTCTGCTTTTTGGTCCGAGAATGGCTTGTATTCCGTAAAGTAGCGCTGGTCCGATGCTACATGGACATTTGCTGCGTTGTCCAGGCACCACTCCCAATTAGCATATTCCTCAGCACAGTGATCACGCTGATCACTACCTCTAGGACTATTATCATGCCGTCCGTGGTCAGTGGGGGTCGCTATGTCTGGTGTAGCTGTCGTCACAGGAACAGGCACCACGGAAGTGTCCGGAGCCGAAACTTGCGAAGTTTGCTCAGGCACTACAGGAGCCACCGACTGTTTGGGGTTCTCGCTTTTCTCGAGACGCTTAGTGTACGTGGCTTGTTTGACCTTCGGCGCATTTGTAGACGTCAGCGACTTCTTCGGGCAATCCTTCTGCTGATGACCTGGGTTGATGGCATCTGAAGCAGTTGCTCTGCTGCTGATCCACTTTCTTGGTTCGCGATAGCAGCCGCCTTTTCTGGTAACTCAGTCTTCGTACTGATGCCAGAACTCTGCTTTTGATTATGTCCTGCTCGTCGACCTTGTCCTTGCCCTTGGTTGTGCGCACCATTGCCACCAGTAGCTCCAAGTTCTTTATCACACTTGTTGTAACTGTCCATTCGCAGGATCTGGTCCTTGAGTTTCTCAGGAGTATCCACCTCACTGGTTCCGATTTCGACCATTCCTCTCAGGCGATCAAATCGTGGGTTTGCCGGTAAAGACCGAATCAACAAGTTTATGAAAATCGGATCTCTTACATCAGCATTGATAGCAGCAAGCTTGTCCCTTTATCTAGGAAACATATTGCTAAACATGTAGTCGAACATCCCAGTTCCGGGCTTACATTCAGCAGCTCGAAAGCTTGTTGTACAGAATGATCTCTTGGTTCGTACGGGGTCGCCGCGTTCGCCGTACCCTCGTACGTATCCATCAATGACTTCCACATTTCTGTACCGGTCTTCTTCATCATGACCTGCTGTCCGAGTTCCATCGACAGCGAGGACATAATGACCTGCTTTACCTTGACTTGCCCCTCCTTGAACTTCGACTTCTCTTCGTCCGTCGCGTTGGAGGCCAAAGTCTTGGTTCCACTCGCGTACTCGAGAACGTTCTTGTCCTCGAACGCGATCTCCATCATTTGCTTGTAGTACACCCAGCATTGGCCATGCCAACCGATAGGGCGTCCGTTCTTGTTGAGTTCAACCATGTTTGACATCTTGGATCTTCAGAGTGCTCACAACTGTCCTTACTGACAGCTTGGGCTCATAACCCTGTTGCGCGTATGCAGAGACTTCTCGACGTAAGCTAGGAATCCAATGTAATGCACACACGAATTCCTATTGACTACTTAGCCTTCAGCTCTCTCGACACTAACGCGTTTCTTACCCTGCGAAATGGAGACTGAGCTAACTAAATGTAAATACAACGTGAGAAACCCCAGCGACCTTCACTCACGGGACACTTGCCGGGTCTCTCCTGTGGGAGACTGCTCCAATGCGAGTGCTGCTTCAACTTGCAGAGCATACTATATTCACAGCAAACTCAGCACGATACATTTCTCGCAAAGGCTTGCTGACTGCCAGATACCATCATTATCTACGTCTAAGCCGCACAGCATCATCGACTTCTTCGCCCAATTGAATCCCTCCTGGTCCATCTCTGCATTTACTAGACGGACGCTTTCTGCTGCAGTATCTAGAAGAAAAAAAAACTTTTTACCTAGGTTTGCAAGAGACCCCGCCCTGCATCCAATCGCCAAGCCGAACTGCTTCCATGTTTCTTTCTCACACAACCGCCGCCAGTGCACTTTGACCCTCTGTATAGCGAATCGGTCGGTTGGCTGGACGAAGTCTGTAGAGTTAGGAGGGAAGAAGCAGATACGAGTCTTGAGCTCCTGTCCAGATGACACAACGTCGTCACCTGCGTGCCCACTTGCATTGCCCATCCACAGCACAAGTTCTTGCCCATATGCCCTGAGGGGCCGCAGCAGCGAACGTCCTTCAGCCACTCCTGCATAAGTTGGTTGTTGATAAAGGCGCTGGGCGACGAGCGGTATGCAACCCCTTTAACAGCGTCCGATAAGCCTTGGATAGGGTAGCTTGACTTGGCATTCTTGAATATTAGCAGCAGAGATAGCAGCTTGGCGTATCAACCTCCATTCAATGACACGCACATTGCAATTCCTTCTCGACCAGCTCACATAAGTTAATTTTTGTCAGTAGACTGTATTGGTGCAGTAAAAAGAAATATTTGGTTTAAAAAATGCAAAATATGGTACCTGATACAATTTTACAATTTCTCACGCCGTCCGCACCGCGGAAGTCCAGTGTCTTACCGTCATCCAGATCTATGAGAATATGTGATTCGCCCATGTTGTACTGCTGGTCGGGGTCAAGCCGACCGTCATCAAATTCACGCTTCAGCATGCCAAAGGTGTGACGCTATAGGCTGTTCAACCTGTGCCATCTTTTATCACTAACCTGCTTCTTCCCTTTCAGCTTTCGGTACGCGATATTGTGCCGGTCGGTATAATCCTGGATACGTGATCAGTGTACTGAACTTCTAAGTAAGAACGGATAGAGCTAGACCCAGTGTTCTTCCCACGACCGACCAGAACCTTGTGCATAAACAGATGTGCGCTATTGTAGGCGACATTGAACATTGGGCCAGAAATTGTAACCCATACTATACAGACTGTAAAAACTCTAATAATTGTCTGTTTGATATAAATAAAAGTGCTATATATAACTTAGCGTCTTGAGAGGGCGGTAGAACTCATCAATTAGCCAGAAGCATCCTTTAAGGTCAGCAAAAATGTCCGGCAAGCACGAGTTCTGCCCAGGAGAGAAGCGGATGATTGTGAACAGCTACGAGTATTTCAAAAGCCAGAAGGAACAAGGCCTCTTCAAAGGCATCAGGACACGCCAACTGGTCTCTGATTGCCTTGGTTGTGCTCCCAACACCGTTGACTCCGTGGTTAATGAGAAAAAGAATAACCCAGACACTGATTTTGAGGTATATCAATTATAACTGATATTGTAACATTTCCTTTTTAAACTATTATTTGTACAAAGCCCAGTGAAAACGACAAAGGTCGAAAGCGAGATTATGACCTGACGGATACCTTTATAATTTGTTTCACCATCCTGCTGGCAGAATTGAATGTTAAATCGACAAGGGCAATCTGCGACCGGGCGATGTGTCATCTTCCTTTTTGACATATGATTTTGATTCTAGACCAATCATATCTGTGTATTTGGCGCGCCTTTCCCCCGAAAACGACAGTGTTCTGAGAGGGCATTTTTAAACGACTGTAGCTCCAAAACGGCTGGGAATTGGCTTAAAATTACCACAAAATCGAAATCTAAACGCATGATTGCACCCTATATCTAAATGTCGATATAGGTTTTCCTAAATGTAGACCTCTTATGCCTCTCTAGATTCTGGCCCAATGTTCAATGTCGCCTACAATACTGGCCGTCGTCCAGTGCAGCTTGCGCTTCGCCCACCAGTCTCGCGCCTTGTTAAGGTTGACGCGGCGGTCGGTGGCCCAGAAGAGGGACGGGAACTGGTCGACCGTACGACCGTAGAGACCCTTCTCTCCATCCTCGACAGCGTTGTCCTCCATCCAAGCTACGCAGCGAGCCCGATCCGCTACCCCGACAACATGCTGCAGTGATCGTGTCTCTGTGTCGTTCATCCTAATTCGGAAAGTGAGCACTCTGATAAGTTGAAGCTGTCGATGTCCGACGACAACTTGTCGGGGATTGGTTGGCGCTGTGGGCTGGGCACGATTAATGCTGGTGCATGACTATATATGGTAACTGTACAATAGCTTTTCATATAAGTACGATTCATGACTTAGCGGATTTTACCGATTAGTACCCGGACTTCTATTTATTAGTGCCCTCTTCAGATTGATCGGTATTGACGAGGGGCTATTATTTGGGTGGGGGCTTTTAATTACTGGTGCCAAAGGTGCAAACGGAGTGTATTTGAATATGAAAGCTACATCAAAGTTTGTCTCTCGCTCCGCTCGAGTACGCCACATTTGTCTGTTTTTACCGTTGCGAGATACAGCCGATGGTGCTATCCATCAATAAGCTCGATGTCGTCAGGCGCATTAGCGAGCTCATCGCCGACGTCACTATCTTCGTTCGACTCATCACTTTCTTCTTCTTTCTCCCATGCCTGCTAAGAAAGTCTTTCGTACACGTCGTGTCTCCAGATGAACCATTCAGTATGTATAGGCGAAAACCCCGCTGCTGCCACGGAATTGTCGATCACGGACTGGTCTGTATCTTTCCAAGCCTTGTGCACCCATCCAGACACCACCTTGATGCTGGGTGGCCTTGTGCGAGTATATTCAACGCGATCCGAATTCTTCCCGACGTCAATGAGAGCGCAAAGAATGTCCTTAAATTGTCTGTATATTTCTATGTCCCCCGCCTGTAGGTAAGCGCTAGACCTCCAGACTTCACACACATAGCGATTTCACGATCCGCACACTTGGTTTTGACTTTCTTGGAAATATGCACCCTCATGCTATCCCATACAAGAGCCTTGCCATCGGCTTGCAACACACGCGGAAACACTGTGTCGATCCAATTGCAGAGTAGCTTTGAATCAACCCAGGCTTTGGGCTGATAGGCTACTTTTGTGCCTCCAACCTTTGAAATCTTGCGGGATCCATTTATATGCTTCCAGATAACAAGCGATGGTAGCTTTACACCCGTTGCAGTGATGGCTAGAACTGCCGTAACGCGCATAGACGCAAATCCGGTCGACTTCACAACAACGTGACGGCTACCGCGAATCTGGACAGTCTGCTCACGAGCGTCTTCAAAGTACACTGCAGTCTCGTCCACCCAAACGGTGTGTGTGAAGTTGAAGCTGGCCTTTTTTCAGTCAAATATCTCATGTATGAGACACGACCGTCAAGTTGTTCGTCACTCAATGTCGTAAGATTGGTCCGACGTCGGAGAGACAAATCATTGTGCTTCATAATGCTGCTCACCCAGTGAGATGACGCTTGAAAAGTACGTGTAAGCCCATCTTCAATCTCGGCGTGAATCTGCAAAGCTTGGATAGCGATCCATTCCTTTGTAACTTTCTCTTTTTTTAAGTCTGCGTAGTACGATCGCTTCAAGAAGTAGATCTTCCAGCTCCCCGAGAGCTTTCTTGCGGCCACCACCGGAAAGCCGTTGCTGGTAAGGTTTAGCTGCCCAAATGTCTTCGCAATTGCGCCACCAGCGCCTCACAGTTCCTGGATCGAGCTCCCAGCCACAACTTCTAAAGTGCGACACCGCTCGGCTTGGAATACCGTTCCCTGCTGAGTTGACCCAATCGAACACCTCTTTCTTCTTCCACAGAGCGATTGAATCGCGTCGGCTTGCCATGATGAAGATGCACAAGTGACTGCAGTACACCAGAGGAGTGTCCAAGGGTGATCAGAACACGAGGGTGGCCAAAACAAAGACGGAGGACGATCATTTAATAATAAACTGGGCTTCTATTCGATACAGGGTCTCTATTCTTACTACTAAAATTCAATATGGGGGAGGGCTTCTAATACATACGGGGCTTGTAAAAGGTAAAATCCGTTAATTTCGAAGCACGACTAATTAGAGTGAGCGGTGTAATGAAATGTGAAACCCTATCGCTGAGTGGGTGAATGTCGGACAAGAACGACTTTCAACCAACCTTGCATATAGCCAAGATACTCTTCGCAACGAAGGCACGTGAACAGGTAATTGACAAAGGACGCAGTGATCTGGAAAAATTTCACCCTTCCAACCTACTAACCCCTTTTGTTGGACCGTACATCATAAATTATGTTGTACGGTCCAACAAAAGGTCATAAGAGGCGTATACCCTAAATCACTTTTTTTTTCACAGCTCTATGCTATGTTGTACCTGTTTCATTTGAAAATAAGTACTGTGCGTTCTACTCAGAATTTCCGGCAAAATCTGTTGTATTGGGAATAGTAAATGGACAGCCCTCACAGATTAATTCAACGGTATCGTACTGAGTGACCGTATCCTCAGTCAACATTCGTACGACATTCAGAGCGGTACACAATCGTTTGGCATACCGTTAGCACCAGGAGTAGCCACTTAACTTCATCTGTGTATTTCACAGCTAGTCAACTTCTTTCAGTTTCTCCTTTTTATTGTGCAAACATTACTTTGCAACGTCAAATCTCCTCGACACAGCGACGTGGTGGGGGTGGTGCTTAGAGATCCTGGAGCGGACTTGTTCATTGCCGGGTGTGGGCATCATCTAGAGTGGAGTCCGAGACCTCTGCCGCTGGCATAGGGGGAGCTCATTATTTTCTTAGCGGGTATATTAGTTAAGGTGATGACCAAACGTACTGCATCCGAAGCATTTTTCTGCCGAGGGACAGCCTCGGGCATCAAACGAAGTACTGCAGGAACGGAAGCATCAACGGAAGGCACATTACATGCGTGAATACGGAGCAGCTCACAAGATAGCTGGTAGATCACGTGTTGGTGCCGTCTATTTCAGTGGAGAAGAACAACAAATGAGAAGAAGACGAGAGCGACGAGCTAGTTATATGCGGAATTACAGAGCTGCACAAAAGCGTGGTGGTTTATCATGGGAACTAATGTGCTATGTTAATATATACACTAACTATTTTAGACGTGGACAGGGCGGGTGCTGTGAATGCCGGACCAACAGAGCGCAGAAAATCAGGTCCATCTGAAAAAGACAGTCGTGGTAGTGTCAATGATCGTTTGCAAGCGCTGGCATAATCGATACTGCACAAACATGACATTTCTGAAGAAGAGCTTTCGTTGATGATGAAAGGTCAAAATTTTACCAGTGATCCGAGGCTGGCATTAGCATGCTATTACTGCTGTGGAGGACAACCCGATGCGTTCGTCTTCAACGACGAACATATTCGTCACGATGAATCGGTCAGAGAACGGTTGTTTAATGTTATGGATGCACCGCCAGGTCTACTGGGATATGAGCGCTGCCAGGCATTCACGACCGCAAATGATCCGTCGAAATGCAGCATTTTCGCATGTGCTTCCTGCCGCGAATTTCTCATTGGGCCGGAAAGTGGACATGTCTGTTTGCCTTTGCCTCTACGTTCAGAATCATTTCAAATTTCACCAGAAGAGCTCAAGAAACGCTATGGACATTTATCAAAGAATGTAATTCGAAAAACACGCTCAGATCCTGCTATAGCCGGACGAAAAAAATATTATCTGAATCCTGAACTAGTGCGAGACGTAGAGCGCGTCCATCTATGCTCGAAGTGTGCCTACAAGCCACGGAAATCCAAATTCAGTATTACCAATGGCCATGAGTATGGTCGTTATGACTTGCTCCCCGACTTGAGCCCAATTGCGCAGAACTGCATTTCGCCTGCGCGGTGCTTTGGCTTGGAATTTTCGGTTTCAGGAAGACATTGTAGTGGCCACGCAATTTGTTTTCCTTCCGGTGGTCCACAAGCGTGTGCAAAAATACTCCCTTCGACAGACATTGAGCGCAGGCCTCGTGTCACTTTTATATCTTTTCACTTACCCGGAACGGTCCGTGCCAGAGATGGGCCTCGTGTCACTTTTATTAGACCTTCGGAAGAGTGGAGAGCGAAGAAACATTTATTTCGTGGTCTTTATGAGCTTCCTAGTGAGAGTGTTTTTTTCTTGGCTGAATGTCTTTAAAGAAACGCACAGTTTCTTTCGGAACGAAGACATTCAAGTTGATGACTCGACAGGTGGTGTGGAAAGATTTGCTGCTTTGCAGAACTCTATCGAGAATGATGTTATTGTAAGTGACGCCGCAACTTTGCATGCTGTTGACGACGCTGTAAATTTCAAGCGTAATCGATCTCATCTCGTTACTGGAGATTCACCTGAGGTGGTTATTCAGCAGTCTGCTGTATTACAACCGGCGATGGGTCACTCTGACAAAGTGGGATCTGTTATTATCGACGCCATGATTAATACTGTTGGGACTAAAGAAAATATTGCAGTTGTACGAAGATGATTTGACCCTATAGCTGAATGGGACGAAAACGGCAACATGGTAGCTGGTGCGCTCCCGACTCGTTTCATGATGGGCGGTGATATGTTTTCTTCTGGGTCGTTTCCCTACGATTTGGTTCAGCATTTGATGCGTTACTATGACGGAAGGTTCAAAAGTAGCGTTACTCTCATTGCGAAGCTGTTCAATCAGTTGCAGCGGCATGCAGCGGTACGAAAGGCAGCTAGAGCAATGACCATACATGCAAAGACGTTACAAAGGCTGCGACAATTGGCGAGCTCTGACAAATTCAAAGAATCTCTTGTGGTGTTGAAAATCCCACGTGAACTCTAGCTACAAATGTAGTTAGGACGTTCCCACAACAATACGTCTACTAGGATAGTAAACGATCGTTCGGGCGGACCTGAAGACCCCAGTTCTGCCCTTGCACCGGGACAAGCTGGACCTTGTAAACTACTTATATAGGCCAACCAGTAAAAAAAAGAACGCGCTACTAGCACGAGCAAAGCTAGCAGGTGTTTTGAATCCTCGTGGTCCCAACAGCGGAAGGGTACCAGGCACGGGTAAGCCTTTTACGATATCACCGAGTGTCCAACACTCGGCTGGAAGAATAAAGGGATGCAATACAAGCATTCCCAGTCGTGCAAATATGCAACAATAAGCCGTCACGTAAAACCTCCCGATAAGAATCGGCCAAAACACAAAGTCTCTTGGCCTTGCCGGATGAACCCTCGCTACAGAGCTTCGAGTTCACCGACAGGCATAACACACTCAAACAAGCTTGACCAGACGCTTACCTTGAAGCCGGACGTCGCTCTGTGTGCTTGAGTGGAAATTCTGTTCTGTATTTAAGCTTACCCTTTCGGGTCTATTCCTAATAAGAAGTCCTAATCAATTTTACAAATATCAAGTGAACAATGATCCGTTATGGATCTTCTTGCATGCCAAGCGTCGTCTGCACCGTCGCATGAGTATCTTTAACGGTCCGCGCCCTGTCCCAGACGGTGAACGTGCCTTCCAAGGCTCGCTGAGTCTTCCGCGAACTCATCCCAACCGCCACTGAGGGTTCGTACCGTAGATGGTCCGCTGAATGCGAATCCGGCCAGTCCATTATTAATAATAAGGACAGCCTGGATTCAGTGACATATGGGCCGTATCCAATACTCGTTGAAAGTTCGGAAGTGACGCCGTCGAGTCCCTTGCACCTTGGCGTCGCCGTACATCACATGACCGAGGGTTCGTCGCTTGAACATCTTGGGCGGTGTCACGTCTTTGTCGACGGGTGATAATCCGCAATTACGGAGAAATCACTACACCACAACTACCCCTGTCGCAATGGAAGCCACGGTACTGGTGCCCGTTGTGACATTTCTTTATTCTCCAATTCACCATCCAGTCATCGTATGCCCAAGCGTCTGAATCGAGCCGTGTCCGACGCGTTTCAGCGTCTCAATCCTCGTCGACGTCGCGAACGTGAACAGCTGGAGGTACGTCAGCTCATCCCCTTCTTGAATCATCGGCGCCTTGCTCATCACCATGCATGACTCGTCTTGTTTCTCAGGAGGGCAAGACCGAGGGTTCGAACGCCCCTCAGTCTGCTACACCTCCCCTGACAACAGCGTCATCAGCTGGTCCTCCGGCGCTTCCTGCCCCGGGCTCTTCACCCCCTGCGGCAGCTCCTGCGGCGCTTCCTGTCATCGCTGAATCCGCGGAGATGGCTCCTGCTGCTCCTCCTGCGCCTGCTGGTGGTCCACCACCACTCACCGAGGATTCGCTGCGCACCATGCTGGCTGAAAGTACGGAGGCATTGGTCGATCACATGATGACCTCGATAATTCCGTACTTGACTGCTATGGCTCGTCACCAAGTGCAGCTCAGCGTTGCGCCTCCTCTTCACGGCGATGTCCACGCTCAACGTCGTCTCGAGACTGCCGTTGGTTTCGATGATGTCCTCGCTGCAGTACAACCTCTCCCTGACGCGCTGTCGGCATTACCCGAACGGGTTGCCGACTTGGAGCGTCAGTTGCGGTTTGCTCAGTCCGAGGCTGCTGCCGCCGTACGTTCGGTGGCACCCGAAAGCATGGCTCGTGAGAACGGAAAGGCGTTCCTCAAGGCTGCCAACGCTGAGATCGAAGCCCTTCACCACGACATCAAAATTCTCAGCGAGTCGAACGCCAAGAACGACGCCATGCTCGCCAGTGTTCAAGCCACCATGGAGCGACACTCAGAAGATTTGAATCGTCTGCACTGCGAGGTCCAAGCTCGGGACGTGTTCATCAACACGTTGCACAAGAAGCTGGCTCGCGAACGCGAGGTGTACAAGTCTTCCATTGGAGGAGCAGACTCGGAAGCTTCATCTCCTTCTCGTAAAGCTTGCCC